CAGTTCTGTTTTATTTTCTTATTAAACGTAGCTGTCAGACATGTGCACACTATATTCCAACATTCCTAATTTATTTGGCTATCTTTTCATATCTTTTAAGTGTCTTTCAAAATTTTTTTTCTGATTTGCAAAAAGTTTTTGAAAATTAAAATATTTAATTCTTTGTCATGTGAATGGCATTTTAACTACAGGTGGCAACAGATGTTACAGCAGAGAATCTGGATGTTTTAAAAAGGAATGGAAGTAAGATCCGTCATCGCCTCAGTCTTATTTTTTTGCCAGCTTTCTTAATTCCACCCGTGGCCAGGGGACCTTTGCCCACGGCCTTTGCTTTTAGTTGCTTGAGTTTCTTCTGTTCTTCTTTTTGTTTCTGCTTGAAAGCCTCATCTTCCTCATCCATCTCCTTGGTCTGCTTCTTGGGCTGTTTCAGGGGCTCTTCCTACCACCTTCGCGGCCAGACATGGCAACAGCCGCCCCTTCCCCAGACCTTCAATCCAGTATCTCTTTTTAGATTTATTACTGTGTTTAATTTTCTGTTTGTCTACTTATTATACCATTACTACATAATTTTTAGCTATTATTATCTTATATTTTAACATAACTCTGACAGCTTTTCATTTTCAAAATTTTTTTCACTTTTTAAAAAAATATTAGTATAGTTTTGTTATATCTCAATTATCTGTTGTTGCTAATAGAATGACTCATAGTGACTTTATGAACAACAGCTCTGAACCATATCCTACTCTGCCCTGTCCTTATCATCCTGACCCTCTTGAGCCCGTTGTCACAATCACACTAGAGTGGCTTAATTGAGAATATATTCATATAACATAGAAAATAATTGATATCACTAAAATATTAATTTGAACCCCTTAAAAACATACAGGAAAGTCCAAATATTCATCTTTACACTGAAAAAAGAGAGACCAGCACTGTTATTGTACTTATGTGCAGCCCTAGGCATAATAGCTCTGAACTCTTGCCCTATCTAGAGCCAATCTCATTGCCTCTGACACACTTACCCCCCATACCCTAGTCATTGTGTAAATCTATCTCAGAGTCTTCCTCTCCTGTGCTGTCCCTCCACCTTTCCAAGCATGTTGTGCTTTTCCAAAGACTGGGCCCTCCTGGCCTCATGCAGAAAGAATGTGAGATAAGAGTTTCAAACTCCTTGCCTCCATACGCCCCTTCAAATGCTCCACTTTCTCTCTTGTTTCTGCAGCTCCAAAGACCAAACCTCCCTCTCCTTAGATCCTAGTTTTTTCATGGAGTCATTTCCACGTACTTGTAAACACAGCACTATTGTTCTGGTCTTTAAATGAAATAAAACAATTTCATCTTGATCCACATCTCCTTCTATCTATCAAAGAAAGCAAGCATGGGAGCATCCATCCTTCATTTTCTTAGTTCTCATTCTCACTTTCATTCAGAGGGCTTCCTGCTTCCACTACTCCGTTGAGAGAGCCAGGGCTGAAGTCAGGGTTAGCCACCACGTTGCTAACTAAACCTAGATGTCCAGTCTTAATCCTCTCTTATCTCTCCTATCGGCAGCATCCAGCATCGTTGTTATGTGCCATGAGTTAACAATGACTCAGGTGACCCTACGAACAATGGCTCTAACCCTCGTCCTATCATGAGGCAACCTCACCCTCATGGCTACAGCTGACCTCACTGCTACAGTCACTGTGTTAACCCATCTTATTAAGGGTCTTCCTCTCTTACGCTGACCATCCTTCACCAAGGACAGGTCCCTCCTGACAATATGCCCACAAAGTGTGTTCTTCCTCCTTTTTTGAAGCTCCATCTTCAAGAGGTATTCCAGGAATCAAATTCTGTTTTCCTCTCACCTCACTGGCTTTTCAATCTTACTCTCTTTTCAGGGTTCCTCTACATCTCCCAAATGCTTGATGATGATGCTTGGGTTTAGGACCACTGGCTTCAAGATCTACCTTCATTCCTTTGATGATCACATCAAGCCTCTATCTTTAAGGACCATCAAAAGATAGGACTCCAGCCCACGTCTCTCCCCAGAATTCCATTCACTTCTTGACATTTCACAGGAAACACAAGCATAACCTGTCAAAAACGAAACTACTGTCCAAGTGAGACCCCGCTAAGCACCTTCTCCTCCAGTGTCAGTTCTTCAGACAGCCTGCATGTTCTCAATGTTCACCACACCTATACTATTACAATCCTTGGGTAAGTCTCTCAACTTCCGTCATGGTGGTAAAAACATGATTATGTCACTTCTGTTCCCCAAAAGCTCCAATAACTTCTCCCACAAAAGAAAAGCCAACCTCCACACAACGCCCTCAAGGTTCTTTGCTTCTCGGCCCTAGACCTCTTCCTTCCTCATATGTTACCTTCCTTCTCTTGCTCACTCCATGGCAGCCACACTGGTCTCATTTAACAGCCAGAAAGGATCCCACCTCAGAGCCTTCAGACTTGTTTTCCTCTTTGCCTGGATCTCTCCTCTATCACATCTGCATGGTTCACACATTTCAGTACAGCCTCAGAGAGGTTTCAGGGGGCCAGCCTGTCACACAAGGCAAATCCTCCCCGATCCCTCCCACCCGCCTCCTGTCCCTGTCCCCTTGCCTATACTGTTTTCCCAAGCCTTTTATCACCTTGAATTGCTCCTCTGGAAGCTCATTCCACTCCTTGACGTACTGCTTTTCAGCCAAAGAAAGCTTGCCCTCCTTGTCAGAGAGCTGAGACACTTGAAAAGGTGCCTGCCAAGTTTGTGGGCTCCCAGAAAGTCCAGCGTTTGATGGAGGCCCTTCTGAGCCTTGTTGGGGAGTGACTAGCACACCAGAAAACCCAGCAATGTCCCAGTTCCTGATAAAGCTTTGGGCTTTCCACTTGTAACCTAATAGGAAGTCAGTGGTAAACCATGACATATTCAAGGGAGACTAGAAACCCAGTTGGGTCGGACTACACTTTGTGGTGTATAATTTGCTTTATAATTATCTGTCTTCCCTAGCTAAAATTGCTTGAACACAGGATCCCTCCCACCACTTTTCAACTCTGTTTGTTGTTGTTTAAGCTCCTTTGACTCTATCACTTAGAATGGTAGCTGGCACTGGGTAGCTTCTCAGTAAGTTTGATTCTGTGTCATTTTCTGGGTAGTATATAAACAGCAGGAGCCCTGGTGGCATAGTTGGTGATCTTTGGGGTGCAAACCGAGAAGTAGTAGTTCAAGAGCTACTCCTCAGGAGAAAGCAAAGGGGAGGCAGGCTCCTCCCACGAAGAATCTCAGTCTCAGACACCTGTGGAGGGTGGGCATGACTCAGAATTGACTCAGAGGCACTGGGTTTGGTTTGGGGTTATAACACTGACACTCCAAAAACTCACTGCTGTTGAGCTGAACCCAACTCAAAGCTGGCCCTACGGTGGTTTTTCAGAGGCTGTAAATTGTATGGGAGGAGATTGTCCATCTTTCTCTTGTGGAGCAATTGATGGATTGGAGCTGCTAGCGACGTGCTATGCTTAGGACAACACTGTAGCTCCTTACGGACTAGACTACCGGGGCTCCCCTAATACGAATGATTGCTGTATGTCATTTCTGAAGAAGACTACTGACTATCCCATGGACTGTCAAAAGAACAAACACATAGGTCTTGGCATAGGATTGGCTATTGTAGGATGGCACAGGATAGAACAGGGTTCAGATCTGTTGTTCAGAGGGTCACTGTGGGTCGTACTCAACTTGATGGCTCCTAGCAATACCACCATGTAATTTCCAGGTATTTCTAAAAGTTGTTGATTGCCGGTGAATTGAGCACAACTCATGGTGATCCTATGAAGGTCTGAAGCCTTTCTATAATTATGGTCATTTATCAATGTTGATAGCTTCCACATAATAACAGTATTCAAGCTTTATAAGAATCTGAGTGTAAGTGTTCTGAGGTTAGACGGATATTTCTCCTTCAGATCGGCTGATGGATTTGAAAGAGTGGAGACACAGCCCTTGATTAGCAGTATCAAGCCTCAGGACCCTGAAAGTTTCCTAAGGGAATACCTGATAAATGCTGCTCCTAAGATCCTGTGCTCCAATTAGAATAATAATTCATTATTAAGACATGTTAAAGTTACGGTATGACAGGTCAATTCCCCAGGGGTATGTGGCTTTTCTAAAATGATGTGCACTCGACTCTGACAAAGTGCAGCGAGAGTGCTCCTTGGAGGCAAAGATGCCAGAGCTTCATCTCACATATTCTGGCATGCTACGAGGAGATGCTGTTTCTTGTGGAGAAACACCATATTTTGAAAGTTTGGGAGGGAGGGTGGCAAAAGAGAAGAAGACACTCAACCAGGTGGACTGACACAGTGACTGGAGGGTCAGCAAAAGAGAGGAAGACCGTCGGCAAGAATGACTGACACAGTGACTGCAGCAACGGGTCCAGTGTGTCACTGATTTTGTGACGCTGTCACAGGACGGGCCAGGCTTTAGATCTGTTGTTCATAGCATTGCTATGGTTGTACTCAACAGTGCCTAACATCAACAAATAACCATCCAAGTTTATCTGAAAAAGTTGAAAGAGAAGCACCATAGGCTATTCTTGACAAGAGAAGTGTTTCAGGCTATTCTCAATCCTTCACTGATCTTTAAGTTTCTTTAAAATTGTCTATCTTCTAGTTTGGGGGAATTATTTTTGTTTCCTTTTCTTTTCTTTCTTTTTCACTTACTGAGACCAGATCTCTTTATTTCTCAGGATAGAACAGATTTGACATTATGTAATAACAGCTATCACTTATTGCCATCACGATGTACATTTTTAACCATGTGATCTAACCACCTCTTTTCTTTTTGCAGACTACTGTATTCAGTTTTATGACTCAGTGATTCTCCTAAAGCCCATCTGAAGACATTGACCCAAGTCAGTGTCAACGGGAAACAGCCACCTGGAACTTTTGTGTGGAGGGAGCCTCTCGGTGTTCTATATGCTGCACACATTCTCCCACATCATTAAGTGCTGTTGTGGGCGTGGGCACCTCACCTGGATGTTGAGCTGCTTGTCGTGCAGGGCTCTCTGCAGCTCCTGGAGGCTGCTCTTCAGCGTCCTCAGCTTCACCGCCAGCTGCTCAGCCTCATCCTTCGTGTGCGCCTTGCCCTCCAGCAGCAGGTTTTCATTGTGGACTGAGAGCTCCGACAAGGCCACCACCTTCTGCTCTATTTCCACCAGCATGTTCTGCAGCAGAAAACACAAACAAACAGGGACACCATGCACGGAACCTGCCAGACTCAGGAAGGGTGGTTTCCACACAGAGCACATGTTCCTTGCTTCACAGAGGTGAACAGGTTTTCTCCTAGCTTATCTAAAGTGTACATTTTTTTCCATTTTTTTAGCGTCTTATTTATTTCTTTTTTATGATGAGATATCATTTAATTAAAAATGCATGGCAAAAAACAGGAACACACAGAAAGTGTATATTACACAGGTTCATGAGGAAAGATTTTTTATTTAGTGTTATCCCATTATTTTTGTGTTAGCATGACACACCATCTCATGGTTGCTGTGAAGCTAATCACTGTGACACTGATGTGTCAAATAATGGTCACCCATGGCAGACAATGTTTGGTGGAGCTTCCTGATTAAAACAAGCTTGGAAGCAGGAGTGGCATCCACTTCTGAAATGGCTTGCCTCCAGAAACCCTATGAATAGTGCTCAGGCCTTTCATTCATAGGGTTGCTATGAATCGTCTAAAACTCGACAGCACCTAACAGCAACAACAACAACATGAGACACTTACATGGCTAATAATAGTAAAGAGATCCACATGACCTTTACTTGTTAAACTAAAGAGAGACTTTTCCTTCAAGACCCTGTTTCTCTAGGTTATTTTCTTTCTAGGTTGCTGATTTTACAGTTTTCATTTATAACCTATATATGACATATTTTTAACCTGACATTACATGAAGCTTCCTGAGGAAATCTGCTTTCATTTTCTGGGCCAATTCTCTCACGCTGCAGGGCTTTTCTCTAAAATAGATGACTAAGTTGGGAGAAGATGCAAAATAGCCTCTGTTCTTCCAAACTAAAATTGAAAACTGAACCCCCCAAAAAATGTACCTTTCTACAGAAGTCATTCTGCTTTTAAAGTCCTTAACTCTGGACTATTTCAGAAAAGCACTTTCTATTTTATATTAAAGTAAGCAGCTTATTTGAGAAAGAATATTTTTGTTTTTCTGTGCAATTTCAGTATTTCTGTCATCAGCTTTGTAGAGCTTTGAAAAAAATAATTAGAATAAATTGTAAAATTTTTTTTAACAAAATGAAGCATAAAGGAGGATATTTTGAAAACTTTCTTTTTAATTTCAGATAATTCTGTGCAAGA